GATTCTCATTTTATGATTATACAACGCGTTGTATATTTCACTCTTCCTTCCGTTTCGGATCTGCAGCTCTTCGATGTCTTTGTCATCGATGCAATAATGTTATAAACTTTTTTCCGTAGCAGATTTTTGCTGCAGAGATTGTTTTTTTTCCTTTCAGGAGATTTCCCGAAGCCGTTTTGTTCTACATTTCTACTGTAGTCGTAAACGAAGCTTCTGCAGTTTCGTTTCCTTATGCTCCCATATCAGACGAAAGATGGAAAAAATGACAAAAAAACTAAATATGATGGCCAATAAAATGGAAAAAATTACTTGGTACTACTGCTGACCTTCGCCTGCATTTTGCACAATACTCAACGAGACTCGAAAGAATCAAAATCGTGGAAATTGTTTGTATTCATTTATGACATTCATCGCTCACTTTCTTGCTCACACCCTCCTTTCGTTATCGCCTTCGAAACGGAAGAAAATCTCTTGTCGACTTCGTCGTTCTTCGCCTTTTTTTTCTTTCTCAAGCATTTATGCCTTTATTGCTTTATGATCTATCGCTAAACATTTATTTACGAATGTTTACGAAATTAGTTAATTACCTGGATTGTATGCATAACTAAGCCTGCAGGCTCATGAGTCTAAAGCTGATGTGACGAAGAATGAGCGTAGAGAGACACTCTCTCAAACTACTACCGACGAACCCTACTGCTGCATTTCACAGTTCTGAAGAAAATTATCGCATAGTTTGAAGTCTTCGTTTTCCTTTCGAACGTAATTATTGCTCACAGTCGCTAGAGCCTCTTCCACTTTCTTCCTTCTTGCCTCTTTGCCGTTTCTTCTTTTATTTCGTTCTTTTTTGTTCAATTTTCTTCGTTGAGTGTGTTTTCACACGTTTTGCATAAATTCGTTCAGTTTTGCACTTGAAGAAATTGAGCGATTTTTTCGAGTGAAAAGTCAAATGAAAAATCAACTCATTTTTACGTATTGAGTGTGAGGTATGGATGAGTATGGGGAGCATACACATTTTTATATCCTTTTTTTGCATTTTTTCCAGTTTTTAATCAATTTTTTTTTCAATTTTCGAGGATACTCCCTTGATAAAACTTTGCATCAATACAGAAGCCATCTCACGATTGTGCATGTTTTTTTCCCAAACAATGCCAGTCTCTTGAACATGGTGTAAGATGAATGAATCAAAACGAACAATTTTCCACTGAAAAGGAGCAGTTCCATCGAAAGCAATTTGGCAATAAACTTTTTCTACTTTTCGCTATCTTTATCGTATTCAAAATGTATGCAAGCATTTGCCTGCTATATTTCTTCTTCTGTTTTCTACTGTGCATGCTTTCTTTCTATTGAGCAAAGCGAAGAATCTGAACTTATTGCAGTCATAAAAGCATAAAACGAAATTATCCCCAATAATTGTAAATAAATAAAACGTTGAAATTCTGAAAAGGGTCTAGAAATTCTTTTGCTTTGCTCGCACGGAAGAAAGACTCTTTCGAATAAAGGAAAGGAAAACAGAAGGAAATGCACAGAAGAAATGCACTAGGAAGCGTTTTGACTTTTATTGCTGTGCTTCAATAAAAAAAGAGAGTTTTTGCCCAAAGTCAACTCATTTTTTGGAATCGATGCGAGTGAATGAAAGTTGGTGCATTATTGCATCCACTGTTTGAATAATTTCACATAAAGGAGATGGCCGACACTTTTCGGTAGAAGATCTATCGAATTGAGCGTCGTCTACCGAATGTGAGCATAGAAATGAATGTTCGTATGTTCTTATGTTCGTGGAACTAATCATGGGCTTCTAAGTGAGACTGAAACTCGCCCGATCAATTGAATTTGTTTCAGTATTGTACAGCAGCGCTCTTAAGGACAATTTCGCTTAAATAAATTTTCCGTATCAAATTCGTCAGCAGAATGTGTGAACATTAAAATTTGAAAGGAAAAACTGTGTTGAAATGACTTCGATGACCTTAGTACCGATTTGCAGCCGCGTTAGCAAACGATGATGTCGATCGTCGGTAGGAGACGAAGTACGGCGAAATGATAAACGAGCAATAAACACAATAATAAGTACATTGAAATTCATTGAAAACTTTCAACTGCGCAAGACATGGAGATGGAAGTGATGTTTGTTTCTTTTTTGTTTTCACGCTGCTCTCGCCTACTGCTGACACGTCAAAGGAAAGGCAACCTTTCACAAATAGAACGTAACGAAGCACATAAATATGCGCAACTGGAGACCAAGTGAAGGATCACAGAACTCGTAGCCGCTGGTCTGCCCAATGCATCGGTGCACCAAAGAGTAAGTGGAAAATGAAGAGAGCGAAAGAGATTGGACGAACGAACGAGAGAAAAGTGTGACCAATTCTGCAGAGAAAACATCGGTCAAATTTTGTTCGTGTTCGACCTTGCACGTTCACATCTAAAAACTCATAATATTAAGCCTCGAAAAGAAAAGAAGCTGCTTTGCTCATTTCGATCATTTGGATTCATTTGCGTAAACAAATATGCGTTCCGCTCAATAATTTTTTAATTTGACAATGGGCTATAGAAACTGATTTCCGTGCTTTTTGACGATGATTTTTTTTCAGGCAATTTGGAGTTTTAATGGTTCTATGGAAGCCATTAAAGCGAACAATCAGTCGAACATCTTCAGTAGGTAGTCGACTCAATTATATCCTATTCATCTATACATTTTATTTGCGAAACAATCGTTTTTGCTGTGTTCACAAAAAGGATCTCAAATCTTCTTTGAAACAGTAAGAAAAACAATGAAACTCAAACGCAATGTGAATTTCGCCAGTTTCATGAATTTTACGATAGATACCATGCGATTGATTGAAGTAAGCGATGATCAATAGGATCTATTAATTGGATACTTCACACTCAACAGTCGATTTCTATTGGGAATTTTTTATTCGTTTTTATTCGCGTGATGATATCTTAATTAAAACAAATACGATTCAATTTTCTGTTTTACACCGTTGAAATCGAATTCGTATGAACAGACGGCACAGTACCGCCCGTATCGAATCGAGCATTGCAACAACAACATCGATTTTTGCATTGTGTTCATTCACTTCGCCAAATTGAAACAAAGTCCATATGTATAGAGCTAAATATAAATAAAATTAAGAGGAAATATTCGTAACAAATCTACGGCGTTTCATTTTGAATGAGCCTCGACGGTTGTACAGTCACATGATCACTCCGGCTTCTTTCCTGCCACTCGATGAATGCAATGGCTGAAATTTATGACTGTTGTGTTTGAATCTAGGGTAAGGGCAGCGAGTACATGCCGATTGTATGGTTTGGTACGGCCAAATCCAAACCGTTTTGTTAATTTTTAATTCAGTGCATTGTGTGACGGAAAGCATGTGGATTTCTGATTCAGAATTTCGAATCAAACATAGGGTTACATGGTGTTTTCACCGAGAGCATCACAAGATTTGCAAGAGTGCATCTTATTCGAATCTCACCCCAAAATGTTGTACATTTGCTCTTTTTTTCTCTTGATGATGTCAATGTGAAATATTAGCTATATTTCATTGACATGTTCACCAATTCGGGCCCCGTTTTGCCAGACTGTGTTGCCTATTCGATGAGGAATCAATCGCCAACCGTGCAGAGAGTGGAAAGGTTTCGAAAGTTTACGCAGTGTACGATGTGTTGATAGAAGAAAAAAAAACGGTTGACATTTTCAGCTTTGTAGTGTTGCGAGGGAGTCACAGTCGAATTCCATTCGAATCTCTTGAATTATCTTTTCAGCAAACATTTCACTCAATGTTTGTGGACAGATGTTGATTGCGACCAATAAATGCAGATCAACAAAAGCAAATATGGTATCAGGCCAATCTTCAACTGTCGCCCGAAAAGTGGTTTACCAACCAATAGACATTGCAAACACAACTTTATATCCCCCGAATAAATGCGGATTTTTTCAAAAGCCAGTAGTCGACCATTTTTTATGGATTTATAGCAGTCAAATTGAGCTTCAAAGGAGTTGAATGCATAAGCATATCATAAATTGAGGCAAAACTTCAAGGTTATGCCAGAGTGTTAAGTCAATTTACAGTGAATGCACATAATTTAGTAGAATTGACGCCTATTAACAACTTTGCGAATAGAAAACAAAGAACATTGATAAGATGTGCGAAGCAGAATAAAGCATTTCGGATATCTCTCAGAAGTCAGTTGCTTTGTTTTATATTCGGCTACTATTTTTGCATTTGCATCTATTTCATTCAGTCGTTTATATGTTGGCTCGAAAGCAAAACAAAAATATTGTTATTACTTGTCAAAAGTAACTCTACCAATATATGTATGTGTGTACACTGTACATACTCTCACATGAGAGAGCAATGCGAGTACCGGCGAAACAGATGAAAGAGGAAAGAACCGAATACGGACAAAAGAGAAAATATGAAAAAAATATTTTTTCGCCCTTTTTGGCCTTTGCATAGCAACTGCATTTTCTTTCACTTACGCGCCTCGTGTGCGTGTGTATGTGTGTAACGTGTGCACCCTAAACAACACAGCATCATTGTCAAGAAGTGAAATATGTGTGTCGCAGAGTCAGGGAAAGAAAAGGGATGGTGTGAATGGAACAGGCAAACGAAGCAAACACAAAAAGGCGACTATTGTTAGTTTTTATAGAGGTCGTGTGCCAAAACTGAATATTTGCTTTCGGACCCATTGCTAGTGCACAATGCACACTCACACACATACACATATACACACTCACAAACGTACGCACATTGGTGCATTATTGCAATAGAAGCAGCCGTTTGAAAAATGGTAAATATAAGGTCTCTGAGTATTTTCAGTCAGATACGATTCGGAAGTCAACAGTAGTGGATCGATAATAAAAACTTTCCTCTTTTCAAACGCAAATCAATAGTTCCTCAGTAACAAACAAATCGCGATTTCAACGATTTAAAAAAAAAAATTGTGCATTTTGAATTTTCTCGTGTTTTGTGCAAAAATTTAAAAATAAACAAATCAAAATGACAGCTACATACTACGGCGATTACTCCTCCAACTCAAACGAATTCTACGGCCAAAGCTACAATAACCAACAATACGCATATCAATCACAATCGTATGGAAATAATATGGTAAGTTGAATTGTTTTGATTTGGATTTCTGCTTCGACTTTTGAAACGTTTTGTGCAACTTCAAATGAATTTCCCAAACTGTTCCCAACATTGAAACTAATTTTCTATTTGGTTTACTTCCATAGGATCACTCAAATTGGTCTTCATCAAACGCATCAAATGTAAATACGATGCAATACCACCACCAACAACAGCCAACCCATTACTCAAATATGAACCAGTTCGATCAATATCACAACAACTACGCATACTCACAACAGAGCGCCGAACATATGTACCAACAACATCGATCGCCATCGTACAATGAATCACGACAACAAGAAAACTTTAATGTGCCATACGTGCCAAATAACGCACACGTAATGTGCCAACCAAACGCATATAATCCAATCGAAAAACCAACACATATCTCCCAAGTGCCTGCTGCAGTCAATAATGTGGATAATTCCCGATTCACGAGCGCAAAATTCGAAAATGACTCAGTCGATGTTGATGATAATTCGCCCGTGCTACGAGCTCTTTTGAGCAACAAAAGTGCGAAAAGATTGAGCCCAAGCTACAGCAACCAATCTCCGTCAGCCAAACGACCAAGGACTCAAGAGAATCATTACGTGGAAAATGGAACAATTTCGCCTGTTCGCACCGAAGATAGCTTAGACTATTTTGATGATTTCGCATTTGAAAAGCAGCAACCAATCACAGAGAAAAGTGGCTATGAATATGGAGCCATGCCATTGGGAATGACTGGCGAAAATTTAATCGCAACGTCATCGGCCTCAACAACACCATTGACAAATCACACCGTAAACAGCCCAATCACAAGCTACGTGGAAGGCATCAGCACACCACCACAATCGCCAGGAGATGCAGCCATTGAACATGTCAATCAAATGTCACTCGATGCATCATGTAAAACCGACAACAAAGCATACACACAAAATGGTGATGGTAAGTGTCGAATTACTTTTTACTTCAACTTTTGCAACAACCTGTACCATTTGACATGCCCATTTATTCTTTTTCATTTTCATAACTAATCATACTTTTGCTCTTTTTCTCCTTCCAGCAGTCGCATGCAAAGAAAAAAGATCACGTCAAACATACACCCGTCAACAAACACTGGAATTGGAGAGTGAATTTCGTACAAATCGCTACTTGACCCGACGAAGACGCATTGAAATATCCAGCATTCTCAAATTGAGCGAACGACAAATCAAAATATGGTTCCAGAACAGAAGAATGAAGGCGAAAAAGGATCCGATGCTTTCAATGAGCCCAAGTTCAGACTATAACGACACACAGTTCCATCAGATCCCCGTCCCATCTCATTACATTGGAAACTTCACCGCGATGCCCAATCCATACCACCAAGCCCCACCAACCATGCCGATGCAAACCCAAACACAAACTTATCAACATCCGCACCCGCATCCACATGCACAGTATTACTAAATTGTAGTATAGAATTAAGAACGTTTGACTGTAAAATGTAAATATGTGAATAATTTCGTAGGTAATAATTAAAGTGTAAGCTTCAGATACGGAGAGAAATATAAAGACTGTTTGGATTTTAAGTGAACAAGTGGAAATAAATTAAGCGAATTTGATTGAAATTTAGTCGTTTTGACTCATTTTCTCTGATTTCAAACGAAACTGAAAGTACTTCTGAGTGAAAAGTGAAGTGAGGTATGGACTTGTGCAGCGAAAATCATTAACACTGTTTAAGGGACATAATTCCATTGTTTGGTCTGTTTAAGACGAAAGAAATGCAAAAGCAATAAATCAAAAGAGAAGTCTCACTAAATCAGTTTTCTCTTTACCTAAAGCATAAACACACGCAGCATGCATCCAGTTCGATTTTGAGCTGCAGAACCTTTCTTCGTATTTTGTTTTGGCATTTTCTTCATTATCTGTAGTTTCATGGTTTTCAAGAAATCGGGTGACAGACAAAAATGTGACCAACTCAAAACCATTGAGAGGTAAGAAAAAAACTGTGTGCTTTTGACCATTCGTTTTGCTGTACTGCGCACTTGTAGCTCGTCGTTGTTTTTGTCGCAGTGAAGTAAACATGAACGATAATATGTGATGAGTAAGCATCTAGGGATATCACAGCAGTTTGCGTATTCGATTCATGCGTCAAATTTCGTCACAACGGGAAATGATCGCAAGAAATTTTGGTAAACCTTAATTTCTTGGGCAATTTTTGAAACAGACAAACTGCGTGAATCGAAATCGCACAGAGACTGAGAAAAATATTGCGGAGAAAGCGGGAAAAAAAAGATTCAAGAAAGCGGAAAAGGAGCAACAAAGGGGGAAATGTGATAAAGGTACGGAAAAAGTATCGAAATTGATATCCTGAGGAAGAATAGTTGATGAAGATAATCTGATACTTAGCCAATATTAAACTAATAGCTCTTGAGCGAAAGGGGTGATAGATCTCATTGGTCTCAAATATATAATCTCATGTTTTTGCTGTTAATCTCATTATTCTACACTTATAACTCATTTTCTTTTTACCTCAACTCAAGTAAAAAAGTCATTAAAAACTGCATTTTTCACAATTTCCTTTGAAGCATGTAAGAAAAACTCCAGTTTGATTGCCAATATTAATTGCGCTGTTTGCCAATATTCAATGTGATTTTCGATTTTTCTCTACTCGCAACGCGTACCTATTGCACGGATTGTATGTGTACGAATGTATTCGGTTAGCGTTGTGTCACTAAAAATTTATTTATTTGTTCATTTGATAAATAGTTCTGAATCGTTCGGTTCCTCTTCGTTTTTGAATTGAATGGATTGCCGGCAGCTGTCGATTTCTCATCTATGTATTTATGGATTTTCATTCAGTGCCATAGGCCGCATAGCATGTCAGCCTTCATTTATTTATTATCTGAGCTGTGTATACTGTCGCGCAGATTGGCTGCGTATACGTGTGCTTGTGTTTTCGAATACGTGCATTGGTTTTTCGTTGAGGGGCTGCAGTTATATACATACAACATTCGCATCGCATGTTACCAAACAATTGACATGATTATTTTTTTCCGACTGTACAAAAGCTAACGCACAATTTCAACCGATCAATGTACCATTGATCTATTAATTTACAGTGAAAAAAAACGGCATTTGATCTACTCAATCAAACACACATTCCGTGGACGAAATCCACATATGAATTAGAAAGAAAAAATGTTTAGTGCAAAATTGAATATCGTTTATGAAAAATGATATCGATTGCATTTATTTATTGCAACATATTCGAAAACAATTGATGAACGCATGTCACAGTGCCAAACTGAAGAATAATTGCCTAAGCACAGAACAAAAACGGAATGAAAATTTATCAAAACCATTAATTGAATTTCTTTGGTTTATTTGTGAATTTCTTAACGTATACGAAAAACACGCTGTGCATACAAACCAATAAAAACAGATAGAGTTGAAACGATTCCCCTCGTACACTGACACTTGATGATTAATCGAAGTTCGAACATTCGAATTCGGAAAAAGCCATTAATATTCGGCGTTAAATTGTCAATATGTGGTTTTTTCAAAACAAATATTTGAGTTCGCGTCTCAACTGGAGCTATTCATTTTGCGACATCGGCACAGACAACGATGCTGTTGAGCGTGAAATCAAGCAAAAAAAACAAACTACTTATAATTACAGCTTACAATGTTAGCCTAACATTCAACGCCTATTTATGCATATATATATTCGAATCAATTATGAGATCACTGACTGTTGTGTCTAACAAGCGCCAAGCCCGAGAGGCAATTATGCAAAATAGAGCATTCTTTAATATGAATAATTTCAAAAAGGGTTGTGAATTTGGCACAAGTACAAATCATTTTACATCGTACATACACAATATGTCTGGTGCGTCTGCGAGGGGGAAACAGTTTCATTCACACAGTTCGTTTCATTAATCATATAAACAAAAACCGTGCAAATTAACTGTGACCAAATTATTGAGTCAAACCGTTAGAGTCTTGCTTGAAATATAAATAATCCGGTTTAATTCAATCACTTGTTTCAGAAGAACAAGCATTTGAGTATGTTGATTAGAATTTTCATATGCAACAAAGTGAAAATGGGCTTTGAATGAATTAAAAGAAGATTCCAAATGTATCAATTTCAATCGCAACGATATTCATTGGTATATCAAAAGTGGATAGCGCCAACATTCGATATTGGCCTGTCGAAGATCGGACGTGCTTCTTTTTTTCGTGGTTGATTTTTAATGATATCATTAGACAATGTAGATTGTCATCAAGGACATTTAAAATAAATAATCGGCCGTTTTAGTTTGCATTTTACGTGATTGTCTGAAAATGAAACAAGCACAAAAGGCAGATAAACCCAACTGAAGATTAATTTCATTAAGTCAAAATCATTTATATTAATTAAATACAAAAACTTTAAACAAGCAAAAGTTTGTTTACTTTTTTTTCAAGAGGCAGAGAGAGAGAGAGAGAGGGACGCAATCCAAAGTGAGCCGAGAGAAAGAGTGAGAGTGGGGAAAAAAATTAATGCGAAAAGGAAATCAAACAGTGAACTCTGTGAAATGAATCGATGATCAAGAGCGAGTAGCGTACGTTCAACGAAATCATCGACATCTAAATGAGCAAGCACACACAGTGTGCACTAAATACTCGCTGATCGGATGGTATAGACAACATGTTTTCATCTATCAGACAGCTCGAACGACATTAAAACATGACTGCTCGACAATCAAGCATACGTACACACGGAGCAGCAGACAGCGCATTGACGCGAACTGAGAACAACATCAAACGTATCGTGTGGCGCGCATCTCTCACTCGCTCGCCTCCCGACCGTACCGAACCGAACCGAACCGAATGAGAGAGTTTTTTTCTGTCTGCAACTTGTGAAGAATGAAAATAAAACAATAAACAAGTAAACATATCGTGTTTTAAATACTCAAATGACAAATTCGAATTAGTTTCGAAGATTTATAACTTATTTTCGTGCATAAAAGTAAACGCTGAGAACTGTGTAGCCACCTAAAAAGACTGGCTCAAATCGAAAAAGGGAATTAACAAAACGACCTTTTTTCTCATTATAAGAATTCAACCATTTGAATTGGAGTTGTGCTCTTAAATTCTTCTTTTTTCTCTCTCTTCATCTTCTCTTGTGTCTCTCATACACAAAAGGCTGATATGTCAGCCGGTGTGAGCATTTAAAATATTATAGTGTAACAGTTTTGGTGTTGGCAACAAACTAACTTTAACGGAACAAAAGATTCGAAGCTAATAAATTTTGATGTTCATCTTTCAGGTTTCTTCTCTTCTCTTGCTCTCGTCAGAATTAATGCCAGATACAATTCTCAAGTTGGACACCATCAAGATGAATACTATTTTACTCCGGATAAAAACAAATGAATGAATCCGTGTGTCAGTCACTTTTTGTGCTGAACATTTGCAATTTTGCATGTAATTTGTGTCTTGGGGTAATTTATGCTTCAGAAAAAGAAAAAAGTTTCTCTCCCAGTTTAAAAGAGGATCCTCATGATTGAATCGAAAGGAAAATGCCATCTGAACAAAAAGCAATCATTGTTAAATATTTCATGGGGCTGACTGAATTTTGCTTCTGTTTTTCTTTTTTCAATAAAAATTCAATTCACAACATTAGCAAATTGAAAATGAATTCAAAAACAAAATGGAATCTCAACTGCAAACATGGAAAAGTGCGTTAAAAGCCCATTTCGTACATCGGTTTCCGTTCTCAAGCCAATCTTTCAAGATCTGGCGGGCGGTCTTTTCATATTCAAATTGAATTAACATGAAATTGATTCTTAATTAAAAATTGAACGTAATCGTTTAATGACTCTAACTCGTTCTTTATCACCATTGCTATTAAATCGATAACACGTTTACGTTGACTCGAAACGAAAATTTCTACACTCAAATGATAGTGTTTAAAAGCGAGCGAAAATTGAACTTAGTAAGGCAAATTTAAATTCGATTATCGACGCATGCTTTTTATGCTGCCGTTTTCTGTTTTCTTCAACATCATCAACAACAGCAGCAGAGAATAAAAACGACTTAAGCAACCGATGAACAAAAAACCATGAAATATTTTCCAATTACGTTCAACTCCGAATGGAACAAAAATTGATTGTGTTATGGCTTAAACACACGTGCACACAAAGTGCTCGTGCCTCTTTGGAGCTGCTTTATTTACGTATCACCATACTATTTGGCTTAGGCGTGAATGGGCGCACAAACCATTCACAGGCAGGTTGGTGGACATTTGCTTCAGGGCGCTCTTAAGCTACTTCAATTTAAAGGAAAATGGTTTTCTGTTTATTTCTACAAAATTATAGAGACGCCAAATGTAAAAATTAGTCACTGAAAGGAAAACCGTTTGCGTCAACAAATTTTTACGATAGTCTTCGAATTGTCAAATGAAAAATACTGGAAAAAAATTT